ACAATGACCTCAAAATTCTAATGACTCTATCACATATGCTCCCTGAGGTTTGCTAAAGCTCCTAGACACATTTACTATGCATGCACACCAACTCCCCTATTTTCCTCCTTCCCTTGCATCCATGCAACACCCATATTCCATCCCCCCCCCCCTGCACACACCCACAGTACCCCTAACCACCATCAAACATGCATTTATTTATTTATGCATTTACTTATATTTATCTTATTCAGTTATTTATGTGCCTTATCCTATTACTTTATATATATATATATATATATATATATATATATATATATATATATATATATATATATATATATATATGTATGTATGTATATATATATTTTTTTCTTGTTTTTTAATGTGTTTATAGTTTTATGCTACTCACCTTTTCGTTGTAGATCTCGAGGTATGAGGCTGTGAGGGTGAATTCCTGGTCATCCCGGTTCTGCAGTTGGCTGAACAGGTAGACAAACGACCGGAAAATAAGGCCGTGTTCTTCGGAGAACAAGTGGGGTCCCTTCTCGAACTGCCGGGGGAGAGGAGGGTAAGTTAGGTTAAGTTGAATTTTTTTTTTTTGTGTATGTCTTTTTCGTCTTTTTTTAAAGGTCGCTGGCTGGAAGGGAAGGCGGGAGGAGGATGGGTGAAAGAAGGGGGGGGGGGGAGGGTAGGCGGGAGGAGGGGGGGTGAAAGAAGGGGGGGGGGAGGAAGGGAGGGTAGGAGGGGGTGGTGAAAGAAGGGGGGGAAGGAAAGAAGGGAAGGAGGGTGGGTGAAAGAAGGGGGGGGGGAGGGTAGGCGGGAGGAGGGTGGGTGAAAGAAGGGGGGGGGGAAGGGAGGGTAGGAGGGGGTGGTGAAAGAAGGGGGGGAAGGAAAGAAGGGAAGGAGGGTGGGTGAAAGAAGGGGGGGGAGGGAGAGTAGGAGGAGGGGGGGGTGAAAGAAGGGAGGGGAAAGGAAAGAAGGGAAGAAGGGTGGGTGAAAGAAGGGAGGGGAAAGGAAGGGAGGGAGAAGGAAGAGAGGGTAGGAGGGAGGGTGGTGGACATAGGGAGGGAGGAGAGGAGGGCAGGCGAAAGGGGGGAGGTAGGGGGGGGGAGAGACGGGGGGAGGGATGGCGAAGGAGGAGGAAAGTGGTTGGGGAGGAAGAGAGGGCAAAATGCGAAGTGGACTGAGGGAGGAAGGAGGGGAGGGAGAGATGAAGCTAGGGATAAAAGAAGGGAGAGTGAAGGAAGACGAAAGAGAAAAGCTTGGGGAAGGAAAGGAGGGAGAAAAGAAAGACCAGAGAGTATAGACGAAGGGAAGAGAGGGTGGAGAAGAAGGCAGAGTGGAGGGGAAGGAAAGGAGAAGCAAAGGAGATAAAAAAGATGAAAAGGAGGTTGGGGAGATAGACAAGGAAGAAGGGGGGAGAGGAAGGGTTTAAGACGGAAGGGGGAGAAAGTGGGAGAAAGGAGACGAAGGATAATGAAAAGAAGATGCGAAAAGGGGTAAGGAGAGGGGATGAGGATGAACGAGAAAGGAGTGGGGAGAACATGAAAATATCTTGATAAACTGAAGTGCTAAACTGGGAAATAGGAGACTGATAAGGATGGGAGATAAGAAAAACAAGAGGAATAAGAGGAAGAGGAAGATGATAGATAAGTCGAGGATACAAATGATACAAGCAGAGAAGAGGAATGAAGAGAAAGAAGAAATGAAAACATAAATACGAAAAGAATGCGAAGATAAGCCTATATTCATATTGTAAAAGAGCTAGAATAAATAATAATAATAATAATATACAACACATGCATAAGTTATTATACAGGAAGATAACATGCTATACCTACGATCCAGCAAATATTACAGCAGTAGGTACAAAAATTTAAGTAGAAATGACTACAAGCAGTGGCAGGAAATAGAACACTCCTCACTCTCTCTCCCTTCGCTTTATCTGTGTTTCAAGGCAGAGCGCTAGACATTATTTCTTTATGGATCAAAATGCGTGTGACACTTGCTCTGTCATGTCAGTAAAAAGTCTGTCATTTGTGTCAGTTCTCAGTGTTACTTTTACAAGACTGGCTGCCTCTTTTTCAAACCTTGGCTGTTCGGTTAATAGAAAGAAATTCCTTCGGCTACTACTCCATACAAAAAATAGAAAAAAAAGGACAAAAAATATATAAATAATTTCTTTTTTTTTAGGTTAGTATGTAGAATAACTCCATATCCATTTTAAGCAATAACGCATTGTGTGTAGGAAAATCACACTTGGAAATCTGTATCTGCCGCCTTCAATTTCAATATGGTGGCTTCGTCTGTTCGCCCAGGTGCCAAATCAAAATAAATAAACAAATAAATAAGTAAATAAAAGAATGAAAAATCAAATAAAGCATGCAAATGTTGATAGCTGGGTTTCTCTCTGTGGTTTGGCACTAGTATTATCAAACAAACAACTGTCAACAAAACTAAAGATTATTAATGATGGCACTAGTCTTTAGCGGAAACGAACCTACAGTCATTATGGTCTTTGACTATTCTGGAACAATCGTGGGCTTTTGCCTGCGACGTAAAATAAGGAAGAAGTTATGAACTTTTAAAGGAAAAATATTGCTTTGTGTTATCAAAGGCCTCATTAGAAATAATAGTATCCAAATAAAATAGATCTTAAGTATTCCCTTCATTAACATTGCCCTGTCTCTGAAATATGTTAGGAGATAATGTCTACAATAAAATATGATAAATAAAATGTTGTATAAACATAATAGGATTAACAAAATACATTAACGCAAAATATGAGAAGTGAATGGAAAATAAGGCGGATTATTAATAAAAAAATTAAAAAGCTATATACAGGATAGCAACAGAAAGAAATCATAAAACGTTATCGTATGCAAAAACAGGATAATGACTAAGTGAAAAGAAGAAAATAAAGGTAAGAAATACATTAAAGAAAAGAAGGACAAGAACAGGAGGCGGAGAAGAAAAAATGGAAACGAAAGAAAGAAGAAAAGTCAAGGGAAGGAAAAAAATAAAAGAAATTAAGATATAGGTAAAGAAAAAAGTAAAAAAAAAAAAAAAAAAAAAAAAAAAATCAACCACGACAAAGAATATCGTAACATACCCTCTCCCTTCTACCTTCTCATCCCCTTCCCTCCCTCCCTCCCCCTTTTCCCCCTTCCCTCCCTCCCTCTCATCTTCCTCCCCCTTACCCATCCGCACCTCTTCTACCCCCCCCCCCATCCCTCCCACTCCCACGTGATACCAAGGCGCCTTCCACAGCGACGGCAGCCAAATCGATGACAAGGCGAACGACTGAACAACAGCGGATCAACGCGACTTTGAATCCACGCGAATCCGGTCGTTTGCACTACTCCTACGAACGAAAGCGAAAAATACGGATTAACGTGACTTTGAATCCACGTGTATCCGGTCTCTTGTTTTACTACTGCGAACGAGAGAGAAAAATACGGATTAACGTGACTTTGAATCCACGTGAATCCGGTCTCTTGTTTTACTACTGCGAACGAGAGAGAAAAATGCGGATTGACGTGACTTTGAATCCACGTGTATCCGGTCGCTTGCTGTACTACTACTGCGAACGAGGAAATTTCCTTGCTTGTGGCAGGAGTGCGGGTGATGGTCATGATGACTTGAAAGACTGGGTGGTGATTGTGGTGTGCATGTCTGTATGTATGTGTGTGTGTGTGTGTGTGTGTGTGTGTGTGTGTGTGTGTGTGTGTGTGTGTGTGTATGTGTGTGTGTATGTGTGTGTGTGTGTGTGTGTGTGTGTGTGTGTGTGTGTGTGTGTGTGTTTGTATGTGTGTGTGTGTGTGTATGTGTATGTGTGTGTGTGTGTGTGTGTGTGTGTGTGTGTGTGTGTGTGTGTGTGTGTGTGTGTGTGTGTGTGTGTGTGTGTGTGTGTGTGTGTGAGTGCGTGTACGTGTACGTGTACGTGTATCTGCATGTGTGTGTGTGTGTGTGTGTGTGTGCGCGTGTGTGTTTATGTATGATAGTCTTCAGAAAGTTAACTGCGTTAGAAATGGCAGTGCTTCAAGTATGTCTGGTTAATTACGAATCAATATTGCATATGGAAGAGAATTCCGGAAAAAAAACAGAGAGACAGGAAAAGACAGCACATATTATGCATATTTTCTGCGCCTGCAAGTTGACATTTTATAACATCAAAAAAAAAGTAAAAAAAAAAAAAAAATAATGAAACGAAGAAAAGAAAAAAGAAAATGGAAAACGAAAAGAAGAAGTAGAAGAAGAAAAAAATATGTGATTATATTTCTTCAACGTTGCTTCATTGTCGTATGGGAAAGGGTGGGCGAACGGGGAATAGGAAGGAGAAAGGGAAAGGGAGAGGAGAAAGGGAAAAGGAGAGAAGTAGCGGTGAGAGGGAAAGGGAAAGAGAGATGGAAGGAGGAAGAGGGGAAAGGGGAGGTAGAAGGGGAAGGGGAAGGGAAGGGATAAGGAGAAAGAAGGGGAAAGAGAGAGGACATAGAAGTGATTAAAGAAAGGCGAAAGGGGGAATGGAAAGGATAAAAAAGAGGGGGAAGGGAAAGGTGATGCAGAAGGGAAAGAAGCGGAAGAGGACAAGGAAAGAGAAATGGGAAGGAAAAGTGGAGGAGGGAAATTTTAGAAAGTAGAAACGACGAAAATAAAGACGAATAAAAGGAAAAAAGAAAAGGAGATAGAGAGACAGAAAAAAAACATTGATGATATATATACAACACCATAAATTACGTAATCATAAAAATAATGTAAATCTAGCTTAATCATAAAAGAAGGTAAACAAAGCCATACAATGATCTAACTAGTAAAAAGCTATTCATTACCATCATGCCAAAATATTGCGCTACAGAAATTACTAGTCACAATTTTTTTCACTAATATCATCTAAACATGCTTATTCTAGTCTAAAAAGCCTAGAGATTGTTACAAGCAATTATAGAAATTCGCTGCAGATTGGGACTAATGTTCTAGAAAGATAATAATATGTACACGATACCTTGACAAGTGACACTAAATGGCAGATGAAAATATCTCTAAAACAAAAACAAGATTAAATGTTTGTGTCTGCGTATATGTCTATACGTATACTGCTAAATATGTACAAGTATACATACAGAGGGCACACAAACACACTTATGTATTAAAGAGAACGAAAAACAGCTACAATATGAACGAAAAAACGTAACATTTTGCACATGAAAAGTATCATTACGTTCTTATTCCGTTCATAGTGTGGTAGCGTTTAAAAAAAATCTGAATGTTACTATCTGTGTTCATACCTATGTGTGTGTTTGTGTATACGTGTGCTCATACATATCTGTACACATCCATGTACACATATACAGTAGCTATATAAATCAATAAACATGGAGATAAAGACGACTCCATAAAACCATGTAAACTCCACCTATTATTCAAAGTATACATTTTACAAAAAAAAAGTATGAATGAGAATGAATATCTTCACAATACAAGAGATGCATTTAACCGGTTTCTCATTTTCAACATTTGTCAACATGAATACAATTTATACAGTCTAAGCCG